TGACTGTGAAATGCTATCTGCATTCTCGGCTTTCTTCCTGAGCATGATCAACAGTGAAACACAGGCGGTTGTAAAGCCGGGGTTAGAGAACACAGAGCTGGATTTTCTGCTGGTTTAGAAGATGATGGGCTTCCAGAATATAAGATACAGCTTGAGATCATCTCTCACTTTTGGTGAAAGGTTCACAATGGTCCCTCACATGAAACACCCGCAAATGGAGCTAGCAACACAGCTCAATACAGTAAATACATTTACTGCTTTTAGTGGTTTAAAAGCTATTGCTTTTTGAGCATGAAGTGCAGGGGATGCTCTCAACTGCTTGTTGGAGCTTCTATAATGTGGCCTAGGATGGTGTCAGATTTGACTTTATTATGTGTTGGACAACAGTGTCGGCAACATTTAGATGTTTTTAAAAAAGCAGTTTTTTCATCATCATGTCAAGTTTTGATATATTAGCTGCTTAGTGACGTTCTGTGCTGGTGGTGTGTGAAGAAATGTTGCTTTGGTTTTCCAGTCGCTTCATTTGGTACAGTAGCATTGCAGTGAATCTAGATTAATGCAAGCATATTGTCCAAAAGATGTGGAAACCAAGAGGGAGTGCATTTCTATGTAAAAACAAAAATAAAATTACAAAACACTGATATAAAATGTAAAGATACAATGCAACACATGAAATGTATTTTAAGCAAGTGAGAAACCAAAGAACATTTTCTTATCTCACAAATGCTACAGTAGGTGTATGCACAAATAATAATATTTATTATCTTCATTTATTTTTGAATTTGAGTTTTTCCCATCTAGATTTCTGCAACTCTTTTTATTATTTGATTTAGAAACTTGGTGTGTTGGTTGATGTCCTAAGTGGCACCTCTGTTGTCCATGTGATAGGTTGATTTGTCTATGTGTGTGTTTGAGCCTTGTGTAGAGTGTGTGTGTGTGTGTTGTGCACAGCAGAGCGTGTGAGTTGGTTCCCTCCTCCCCCGGTGTGCCGCCGGCCCCTCTGTCGCTTTAAGTCCTGCCCCTCGGAGCCAGCCAACAGCAGCTGTTCCATATTCATCAAGCCCTTGAGTCTTAAAGAGCCCTATCCCGGCCATGGAAAGAGTCATTCCTCTCGCTCGCGCTCTCATGCTCTCTCCATCTTAGCGCTCATCCCGCTGCTGCCTGCGTTTCTCTCTCTCTGTCTCTCTCACTCCCCTTTACCTCTCTGTCTATCTGTCCCTCCCCCCTTCACTCTCTCCCTCTCTCTGTCATACACTTACAATACGCTCAGACACTCTTCTTCTCTCTCTTACACAAATATACATAAACACACATATACACCACACACATGCTCACACACACGCGTGCACCCACTCAATCCATCAGAGTCCAACATACCTGTGCAGGCTGGGGGGCGGCGGTGCTGGAGGGGCTTTTCGGCAGCGTTGTCTCTCAGGGTGTTCTTCTATCTTTGGGGGAAGAAGCGGGTCTCAATTGTTTTCTCTTTCCTCTTCCTCTCATTCCTGGAATGCTAAAACTGGACTGATGGACATTTCAGAACTTTGTCTTCCAGACCCTCTCAGCTATCATAACCAGTAGGTGCACCGCATTTCTTTTTCTTTCCTTTTTCACTTTTCCACTCTGTTGTGGTGCCGTTTTATTTGTTTCCTGTCTTTCTTTCTTTTTAAATCCCCATCTACTCTTTTATCAGCCCCTGCTATTGTCTTGTGTTCCTTGAAGCCAGTTAGCCTAGGTACTGAACTTTTTTTTGTTTTACCAGTGATGTGCTTTGTTCATATACCCATAATGCCCGCTCTTACTTTTACACATGCGCTTCTTCATTGTTTTAGGTGCTTTTATAGCACACAGGACTTGACAGAATAGAGCAACAGGACAGGTGCAATCGTGTGTGCAGATTTATTGTGTGAGCACATCAGGTATGCCAGGTTTTAAAAATTAGAATTCAGACTACGGCTGAGTGATTATGCTTGCCCCTGTGTAAAGTGTGTGTTTTCCCCCCAAAGAATTTGGGGTACCTGACCAGATGGGTTAGGCACTTGTTCGTTGATGGCTTTGTTCCTAGACTGGGCCACTGAGGGAGCGTGAGAGTAATATTTTAAGTAGATGAGATTAATGTGAATTTGTGGAACTGGGGGAGGATAAATTACACACTGTAATATCTGTAGCTGTGAAAGACAAATAGGAGGACCCTGTCACCTCAGTGAGCTGGCAGGTCGGTCCCAGTCAACGGCTCGCAAGGCAAGTCTGCTGGCTGCTGGGACAGTCTGAGCTCACTACATGATACAACTTTGTAAATCCATCACTAACTTACACAAAATTAATTATTTTACATTGTGAACATTTTTTTGTTTTTCTTTTTTTTTTTTTATTGGAAACACTTTTATTATTCATTGTATTTACTTTAGCACATCATTGAGAATATATGAAAAGCACAGGCAAAAACATCAGGATTGTGTAAAGACAGTTTCAATATATAAATAATTTTACTATGAATCATTAAAAATTTCAATTGGTATTACTGATTAAGTGCTGTATATGTAGGAATGGTACTCTGTGGACACTTCAGTGCATTAGGATAGTTTTAATTTTTTTCACTGGAGGTGTTTGCTGAGATAATTGTTCCATATTATCATATCATTGTCCATTCTTATCATATATGCTGAATTGTGTAAACAGATTTTTTCATGTATTTACTATTATTCAATTTCACTATAATTAGGTAGTATAGTTTTTAAAATAAAAAATGTATTATATTCTAGAAGTAATATAGGCAGTTAAAATCCTTATCAGATAGTAATTCAAAGTGAAGCTAGAGAGCTGAATTCTGTTAGTTTCCATTGCTTAACTTCACCCATTTGTGTACAGACGTTCTTACTTTGAGCTTTAATCACGGCCAATTCAAAAAGTAATTATTTAGTAATATCTTAGACATATACTGTATGTAATAACCGTCTTTACTTTTCTTCTAAGCTGAATTGTACTGTACATATGTGTAGTGCCTCAGATACACCTTCATCCAAAATTAGACAAACAGACTGGACATTTCTCTAACATGTAAGGAATTATTATGAGTTAAAGTATATTTATATTTGTCATTGTAGTGTTTCCTTATAGTGTTGCCTAAGGTACTGTAATTAATATTAGTCTGTTACACTACTCCAGCACTTGTGTAAATTTTGAGAATGCACTGAGCTTTATTATTTTTTTAATTATTTCCCCCCCCCCAAAAAAAGCATTTTCCAACAAATTCTGAATCATATTCTTTTCAACCAGGAGAAACATTGTTAAACATGTGACATTTTCAATTATGTCACAAATCGTTTATTCAAAATGGATTTTAGTTTCAGTTGTCTTTATCTGACTTTAATCTAACATATTTCAGAAATGCATTCTCAGTATTATTTCTCCATTTAAATATTGTACCTATAATGTAATATTCACAAGTAAATTAATCGAATATGAAATAATACATTTCTGCCATTTTGGTAATATCCTGCAGTTTTTTTTACATTATGTTTGTTAATTGGTGTTTTCTAATAATAATACAGTTACATATTGACAAATTGCAATGGGCTGCACTGATTTGGAATTAGTATGTAATAAATAATATGTAATATATATCTAATAACTGATTAGACACATTTCCAAGAAGGAAGTTGCATTTTTGTTCCCCATGTTCATACTATTTAATTGATAGGGATAATTTTAAACTTTAAAATAACAGTGAAAAGAGCATGTACTTTTTCAAAGCAGGGTTGGGAGGAGGCGTTTGATGTGTAAATAACATCACTTTCTGTACGTGTTCAGGAATTGTTATCAGTAAAATGTGGCTGTTTTCCAACTCCTATCACACTAACCTATGTAGAAATGATGATCTTAAATTAGCCATGTTCTTCAGGTTCAG